ACAAACACCACAAGCAAGAAGATGATATTGGAAAGAGGGGAGAGGCACAATTTCGGCTGTGAACTCTTCTAGGGTTTCCAGTGGCCGAAAACTGATGCCCTAGGGGTCTATTTATACTTGTGCTGCTAGGGTTTCAGTCAAAACCCTAATGAACAACTTAGGCCTTAAGCAATCCAAGGAACCTTCTGGAATAGGGCCCTTATGGCCGAAATTAAGATGGATAATTCTTAATATTGTCCATGCCTAGTCCATAAGGCTTCTCAGCCCAATATTCAACTATCACACAATTGACAGTTCTAGTCCCCTTTATTTAATTAATGTCTTTTAGCCACAGAATTAATTCTTAATTAATTCTTGTCTAATATTAATTAAACTATATGATTTCTCATTTAATATATTATTCATATAATATATTAATAAACCATAATAACCTCTCTCTTCATAAATCATCCTATCTAGTTTCTATGATGAAGACAACCCAAAAGGACCATGCACAACCGGGTCAAGTATTTACCAAATATAGTTACGGGCTTAGACACTAATCCAACAGAATGTTGGTTTGCAAACCAAGTTCGTTTCCCATTGAACAAGGTTTGAAGTTAAACAAAAGGGAGAATGAAGCACGCGTTGATGCAAATCTATATCGTCGATTGATTGGTCGACTTCTTTATCTTCAAGCCACTGGCCCAGGTACAACGTATTCGGTAAATGTGTTAAGCCAGTTTGTAGCAGACCCACAGCACAACCACATGGAGGCAGCTTATTGTGTCCTTCGATACTTAAAGGCTACGTCGGGCCAAGGCATTCTTCTTTCCCGTGAAGGAGCTCCTGTTTTGACTATCATTTGTGACTCTGACTGGCTAGGGTGCCCTTTTACGAGACAGTCGCGAACTGGGTATTTTGTTCTACTAGGAGGATCTCCTATTTCTCGTTCTACAGTCAGTGAAATTATTTAGCTTTGTTGGTTACTCCGGGAATTGTAAATTCCCATTTCGTCTCCCATGTCTTTATTCTGTGATAATGAGGCAGCCCGTCACATTGCTAATAATCTGGTTTTTCATGAGCGAATCAAACATGTTGAGATGAATTGTTTCTTTGTTAGGGAACGAGTTGAGTCTAAAGAGATTATTCCCTTTCATATTGACAACAAGATGCAAGTTGCATACCATCTAACTAAGGGACTTGGAACACACCATCTTCATTTCTTACTTAACGAGATTGGCATTGCAAATTTGCATGCTTCATCTTGAGGGGAGTATTGGATTCTATTGGATTCCATAATATCTTTTATTTTTCTACATTATCTTGTGGGTCTATCTTACCTATATTTAGTTGATTTTATTTTTGGTACTTTGAGACTATTTATGTTCCTTGCTTTGTACGTTTTCTTTCATCAAAGAAAATATACAAAAAAAAAAAAAAAAACCTTTTTTCCTATACGTCGAAAATTTTAGATTTATTTTATCCAATCAATAGGCACTAATTTCACCTCCCAGGTTAACATTAGGTTTAAACATATGTATGGACTTCCTACAAGGACATTGTGACTCACCACCACCATATTAGGTTCCACGATTTGTTACTTTCACTACTCTAGACCGTACTATTTGCTAATATGGTCACTACATCGATCATACTGGGCAACTAAATACTTGATTTACTCATCACACCATACTCCTTAGGAACGGGTGGTGTAGCATATTTGGAATTGTCGGATATCAACATTTCGGGGTTTTGACTAAATCTTATGTGCCTCTTTATGTTACATTGATGTGTCTCAAGTCATTGGAATTCAGAAAATAAACACGTTATTTGGTTTAGCTAGACGGAAAATATCTCTAAAAGAGTTTTGAGTATCAACACCACGAGAGTGTTTAATATCTAATGAAAACTTATCGATATGTTGATGTTTAAGTGGAGGACTCATCATCTCACAAATAACAAGGTAAAAAGCGAAATACTCTTACGCTTTTTAGCTACTATTTTTGTTCATTCACATTTTTTTCAATTTTCCTTCTTCAAACACTTTATTCTAGGTTCATATTGTTTCCATGTACTCCCCATTTATCATCACAAACATATAGTAACATTGGGCTGATGGGCTGGAATTTTGACTAATGAGAATTGAGAGTATTCCACTAAACACATTCAATTAAACCCATGATCAATTCGAAACTCAATTAGATTCCAGTTAGGCTAAATGCCACTTTAGTTTATGTTAAAAGACTTTCCTGAAGTTATAGTTATTATAAATAGTACTTGATTAAGAGGTCATCTAATATATATATACACATGGATTAACAAAAAACACACATGTACGAAAAAAATGTAAAAGAAAAACATAATTAGTAGGATGGAACGATGCCGTATGAGGAATCTGGGGAAATGAAGGTGTCTTCCACTTCTAGATCGATTTCAGTTCGCTTGGCGAATCTTCCTTTAATTCTGGGTCTTGTTTCTGCGTATGCCTTCCTCGAAGCATATCGAATCGTTTTCTCAAACCTCCTGTTCTTCCTCTTTTCTTTGTATCTTAAAACCCTGGCTTCACGATCGAAACCCGACACAGGAGTCGGATATACTTCCGGCAATGATGGGTGGTGGTGGTTGTTTGATACATCCGCCATGGCTGCGTTGTGGTCCGGTACGACGCCTACTTCGATTTCCAGTGAAGATGATGATACCTGATGATTAAAGAGATGTCCGATATCCTGATTAGTTGATATAATGAAATTGAAGTTGTTATAATGAATTATAAGTATTCGGATTTGGTTTGGATTGCACTTACGCTTTGGCTGACGGATTGAGAGGTGAAGTTGTACATGAAAGGCTTAGATCCGGTGTAATCGACGTCATATGCAGGTAATCCTTCGACTACATCTGGAGAAGAAGCGTGTGCATGTGGTGGCATCTGGTAATGGCGATTTTGGATCTTGTTTTGCACCGGAACAACTCCATCGGTTGGGGAATTGTATCTGCGAATGATCTGATTAGGCTTTTGATCCGGCGTTTTCAGATCTATATCAAGGTATGGATCGATCTCGTTAAACAAGTACTCCGATTTATTATCATCCTCAGATCCATCAACGATTTTGAATTTGGATCTGGGATAAGCCACGAAGCAGCTTCCGCTTCTTCAGCTTCAGTTCCGGCGACGTTAACATCAAAATCCAATAGGAAATGGTGGTCGTTGTTATCATTATCATTATCACCTCCACCACCTACCTTCGACACGGCAGTTGCAGGATCATAAAATGGCACCACCGGAAACCGCTCGTGACGGCGGGCGAGGGGGTTTGCTGAATGGATATCGCGGTCACAGGTAACACAGAGGGTGGCAGCGTCCGCCTTACAGGTGAAGCTCGCCGGAGCTCGCTCACACACATCACACATCCACACACGCGCGTGGCGAGACGCGAGCTTGTTCGCCGCGTGGACCTTGCCGTCGCATGGTATACAGAGGAAGGCGGAGTCTGCTCTACAGAACAAAGCGGCCGACGTCGTTTTGCAGGAATCACAAAGGGTCGCAGCCATGTTCCAGCTCTCTTTGCTCATGGAGTATATTTGATGGCTTTTGTTTAATTGATTTTGGGTTTTGGTTCTTCAGTGAAATCACATTCTCTCTCCGATATCCTACAAAGCTATCCAAAAGGAGTAGAGGACGAATAACTGATTGACACGTGTCGGAATCTTACCCAAAATGGGTGGAGGGGCCTTTTCTAATATAATTGAGTGAGGACCAAAGTTTGGATTCGGACAAAGTTCGCATTATAACTCGAAAGATTTATGTTTACATTGTAAGAGTATTTAGTTACTATTTATATAGCTTTAAACGGATAATATCAAAACTTCTTACACAACATGGTTACGGATCTAAGGAGTTCAGAGTTTCATTACTATAAAATTTCCCGGTTATTCGGTAAAATTTTAAAAAGTGGGAAAAGAACATGATTAGAAAAGAGAAATCAAATATTGTGTATATTATTTTGTTACTATTTATTACGTCAAGATAAATATCAAAATTAATATATATTATATATATATATATATATATATATATATATATATATATATATATATATATGGGTGAGATCGGTTGAAACTCATAGTTTCCCGAGAACCCGAGAACTAAATGTGGAGCGTTACATCAAAATTAAGTCATTAAGGACATGATCGTCATCTTACCGATCTCATTTAATGTTTAATTCTTTTGTTATTGGAAGTATTAATAAAATGTTCTAAAAATTAACATAATAAATCAAATTTCAGATTATTATTATTTTTTTAAAATAGAGATTTTTTTTTTTCAGAAAACATGAATTTTTAAAAAAATTGAAAAAAATATTTTTTTTAAAAAACTGTAATTTTTTTTGAAAAACACTGCATTTTTTTTTAAAAAAAAAACTGCATCTTTTTTTAAAAAAAAAACTACAATTTTTTCAAAAAAAAACAGCAATTTTTTTAAAGAATACTTCATTTTTTACAAAAAAAAAAAAAAAAAAAAAAAAAAACTGCAATTTTTTAAAAAACTATATTTTTAAATAAAAAACTGCATTTTTTTCAAAATACTGCAAATTTTTCATAAAAAAAATGCAATTTCTTTTAAAGAAAACTGTAATTTTTTTCAAAAAAAAAACTGCACTTATTTTTAAAAAAACTGCATTTTAAATAAAAACTTCAATTTTTTCAAAAAAATTGCATTTGTTTTATAAAGTAAATTTTTAAAAATCAATAAAATACCATAATATTCATAAGTAAATCATAAAAAAAATCATATTTTTATTAATTAATCTATAAACGTAATAGTACAAGTATTTTATTCGATACAAAAAATATATAAAAAAAATACTACAAATTTCAAAGCGTTTTAATGTCTTCGTGTCAATATTTCCTTATTTTCTTCAATTTATCATTTTCACCTCTTCAATATTCATCACGATTTCTTCCAAATCTGTAAGAAAATTAAAAAAAAATATTGATGCAAAAACACTCACAAAAATACATGTGCATAACATATGAATCATATGTGATTCACATATGAATCACATGCGATTCACATATAAATCACATGCGATTCACATATAAATCACATTTACATATGACATTATATGTGAATTACATTTGATTTTCATATGAATCACATGTTATTCATATGTGAATCACATCTGATTCACATGTGATTTACATGTGAATCAAATATGATTAATATGTTAATCATATGTAATTTACATGTGAATCACATGTAATTCATATTTGACTCACTTGTGATTTACATGTGAATTAAATGTGATTCGTATGTGAATTACATGTGAATCACATGAAATTTATATATGATTCACTTGTGATTTACATGTGAATCACATGCAAATCATATTTGACTCACTTGTGATTTGATTCATATGTGAATTACATGTGAATAACGTGTGATTTACATGTGAATCACGTGTGATTTATATATGATTCACTTGTGATTTACATGTGAATCACTACATACCTAATATTGTAGTAAGTAAGAAAACCAAGTTGTATAAAGGGAACAGAAATATGAAAATAAAACATACTTGAGAGCCAACTTTGTATGTTGAAGGCGATAATAAAACATAACAAGTCACCATAACTTTTCATGGTGTCGGGATGATCCATGAAAAGTTCTCTCTCATTGATGTCTAAAGCTTTCTGTTGGTAGATTGTGGCCTGCAATTCAATCCAATGAATTTGGGAGCTTAAAAGACTGGCAAAACAGCAAAATAGTATATTTGCATTATGTATTAATAAAAATAATAAATCAAGACCTGGTTGAAGTCTCCAATGTGATACAAAACCACAGCAAGAAGAATGTAAGCTATATTATTCGATGATAATTTAAAACAACTGCAAACATTAAAGTAACATGATAATGGAAGTAATGAACCCCAAGCCATGAGAAAAAAAAAAGTCAAAAGTCAAAAATCTAATATTAAGTCAAAATATGAATAAACAGGTAATGAATGTAGTCAAAAATCTAATATGAAATCAAGAAATGAACAAACTACATAAATGTTAATGTTGCAGCAATCTGCGGTATTCATTTTGTATAAATAAAATCTTGATTTAGAGTTTGAGATCACTTACAGACGTTAGAAAAAGAGGCAATGCCAAATAAAAAAATAAAGAAAGTACATGAAAGAAAGTTTTTTTTTTGTCATTTCCTTGCTCTTATGCTGCTTTAACTGTAATACAAGCAATATAGAGCTTTTAAAGCAGACCACATAGTTGAAGATATGAACCAACTCCCTTACAAATCCTCATATGTGCAAATCTAGTTCCCTTCAATTTTTTATATTTTATAAATAAAGCTTTTAACATTTTTAAAAATTGAAGTTGTTACCTTCATAAATTTCGGCTTCAAATACTCTGCCATGTCATGATTCTTTATGATTCTGAAAAGGGTAATGGTGAAATCAGTTGGTGAATATCCCAAATCATAAAGTTGCTTCATACCAGAACAATCATCATTAAATTTTCCTTATACAACATTCCATAACATATTTTTCACATGTAAAAGATGAGGCTGGTCGCAAACCTGAAGACCTAATAAAATAAGAATAATTTTTAATCAACATTTTAAAGACGATAAATATGATTTAGAGTTTCATTTTTCATGATCTGACAACTATGGCATTTTAGGCTTCTAATACATCATCAATTAGCCATGAATTGGAATGTCATTTAATCTCTCTGATTCCTAGTGTCATATTATGAACTCCAGTCTCTTTACTTGGATTTCAATTAATATGTCTTCCTATAAAACATAAACACAGATCATTGCATGTTACTGGAGCTTAAAATTAAAACAACAACCCATTACCAATGGTTAACATCAAGGTAACGAATCTGAAACATTTTAAAACATATAATCAAGACACAGAGACATTTTAACATCTAAGCTGTCGAGTTTTTTCCAAAATAAACTCGATAGAACACATATAATCAAGAAACAAAGACATTTTTACAGTAGTTTGTGTATACCTGATGAGGTGGAGCGGAGGAGCAGGCAACTGAAGTAGAGGATCTGGTAGCCAACTGAAGATTCATTCTATGAGGGAAGATGATTGACGACGACGAGATCAAATAAAACTGAAATCATGAATTAATTTTAGTGGATAGATAGAGAGAGATAGAGAGAGAGTGAGAGTGAGAGAGAGAGAGAGAGTTACCGATTTCATTATAGCTTTTCGATTTTAGAGATTGCAGTTGATCTGATCGATGTAAACTTCTGTCGTTCGGAATATACACAAGAGATCATGAGTTTGACCTCGAGAATAACTTAGATATGATTGCTATAAACTTTTGCAGATCGTTTGATTCTTGTGAACTTCTATTTCTGGAACTACCAAACAAATCCATAACTCATCCAACCTAGGGTTTGCTGCAACAGATTCCAATAGGTGAAGAACGAAGGATTTTTGAATAGAGCTTCTCCGAATAGAGAAGACAACGACGATCAATTCGCTGGAGGCCAAGTCGTCGGAAGATGATGACAGATCGTATCTTGAGAGAGAGAGAGAGTGTGTGTGTGTGTGTGTGTGAGAAGACGGAAGAGGAGATTACAAGTTTAATCTGATTAAAGGGATATGAATTATGTTGTTCCTTAAATGTCCCTTGTGTCATTTTATAAACATACCCCCGTTTCTTTTTTCTTTTATTATTTACAAAAATGCCACAAGACATCTTGACCTTCTATTATTTTGATTTGACGATCCTAATTTAGTTTTCGGGTTCTCGTGAATATATAGGTTCTCAAATGATCCTTCCTATATATATATATATATATATATATATATATATATATATATATATAAACCATTTACACGCGCCAAGCGCTGGGTGCGAATATTTTATTCAAAAATTAGTTTATAGAGACGATTAGTTCTTTTGTGCAAATAAGTTACTAAATATTAACAAAATATTGATAATACTTTAGTTCTTACAATCCTCAAATGTTGATAAACTCATTTATGTGCCATTTCGTTGCAACTTGCAATTAATTACTCCTAATGTTAACTCCAAATAACCGTAACATCTTAATTTGTTATGAAACTGTGACTGGTTTGATGGGATATGAGTTTGTAATATTCTACCCATACTCTTATTTTCAGTCTATGTTGAGTTGCTTTTCTAGTCTTGTAACTCTCATTTTCCGAGTGTTTTTCTTTACAATTTATGCTTTTACAAAACGAACACTCGAACTCTTGTTTTTTTGTTCAATTTAGAAGATCACGTCACCATATGTGTAGGAGATAAAATAACTAAATACATTCATATATATGTTAAAAATTACAACATAAGACTTCAACGATATCAAATGATAAATCTTTTTCGAGTGAGTAGTGTCCTTTAGTTGATTAGTTGTATTGCTCCTAAGGTAGTGAGGGGTAAACCCACTTATGAGGGGTAAACCACTAAGTGGGTGAGTTCTAAAACTCCACATGTAGAAGTTATTTTTATCATATTCTGCTTTATCAAAACTATAATAAATTCTCTTTTCTCTATCGAATTGGTCGATCAAATAATCA